AGGTTTTTCCGCATAAACTACCGAGTATACCAAAGGCCCATGGAGAGTGCCGGAGGACGCGACGGTGGACCGAAACTCTCGAAGCTGAATCATGCAGCGTAGAAAAGTAGCGAAACACGTATTTGGACTTTTAGCTTGTGCCTGTGTTGCCAGCATGACGAATGTTGCGGCATTTGTACAAACTGCTTTGTAGGTACCAAGTCGGTGTCGCTTGTAGCTTCGATACCCGCTGCAAGTTGACAAGTGGAATAAACTCCTTTACTGAGCATGTCTAGACATACTCTCAAATTCAATCCTGAGTAGCTCACAGGCACTTGGAATTCACACTATTGTCACACAAAATCCTATTGGTAAGCACAGTAACTAACACGTATCGGATCCTTCTGAATCGAGGTATGATTCAGTTTATATAAGGGAGATAGGCAGAGCCTTTAAAACCTTATTTACAGACAAAGACTGAAAAACGTGCACATGTGTACGCATATATACGGCACATTTTAGTAGTTCTTGCCAGGCCATCATATAAAATGTTCTCAAGTCTTCGTTTAAATTTCTGAGCGCTTTCCACCAGAACAATCGAATTAGATAGTTTTTTTCAATCTTCAATCACCCGGTGAGAGAAGGAGTTGGCCCGTACTTCAAGCTTGGCGCATTTAGTATATCTAAGTAGATCTAAGATCTCAGTATGTCTAAGAGAATGAAGCCTACCCTTACATGGACCCCATGCAAGGCCGGAGTCCGATTCAGTTCCGGGATCATATCATTCTGGACCCATGCCACAGGTGACTTAAATGTAGAACTCGAAGGACCCTTTTGAAGTGAGGAAGCTATCGGTCTAGCTGATATGAATGGATTTTCGTGCGTTCTAGGGGGGCTTTCAGAGGATTAAGGACGACAGTTGTGGCTACTGCTAATTAAGAGGCAGATGAATGCGTCAGGTGGCTTGAATGAGAGGGAGATATAGAAGTAAGGGGAGGATGGAGTCAGATTTCACAGGTGTAAGATCAGCTGAATCTTTACGGCCACCTGTATTATGATCGAGTCGGTGAGCATTTGTGTGAGGAAATAAGAGTCTATGTGATAAATGGATCCAATCTACGTTCCATGGGGTAAGATCATGACAAAGGACAACTTTCGCGTTTTCCATAGACGCAAAAACACGATATCGGTGGGGAAAAGAGTAATCGACCTCGATTGCTGAAAACAACTTAACTAACCGGGAGAATTTTCGCTACGGGAAGACAGGTGTTTGGCACCAGCTATTTTGTAATTGAATCCACGCGAGTACAGGAAATCCACCGCAACATCAACTGGCCACGCAGGTCGAAAAACATTTTTCAAAGGGAAGTTGTAAGCTCACTTTTGTCTACCATTAGATTTACTGGCAATAAGGTGGATGAGTGCGCCAAGACGTTTGTATTTTTGAGAGGGAACATCGGCGATATTCCTGTCGGACATTTTTTTTCCAGGATTACGATCATAGTGCCAGACTTTGGTATAAAGTCGCTGCTATTGCGGAGTGCAGATAGATTAAGCTGTCTATCAATAACAACGGGCAACGAATAGCTAGTAATGCCTTCTAGTTTAGATTTAGTCAAGTCGTGCTTAGGTACAGGGGCCAAGAGTTTTCGCCGACTAGCAACTTTTACTCTCATCTGGTCTCAAGGCAAGTTGCAACTAAGTAAACTCCTGATAGATTAGGTGACCGAACTTCAGAGAGAAGTTAACGGTGCAAAAAAATTATACAGTTCGAGGGAAACCGAATGCACAGAACACGAATTGCAACTGGTAGCCAACAAGCACAGACTAGCAAAACTCAAAAGGGAAGTGGCGACAGATAGTTCTAAAAGAATAGGCCCATATTTGAGGAAATTCAACTAAAAAATACTTAATACCTTTAGTTTATCTTCGAGTTTGAAACCAGCAGCTTGGCCTTGCGCTGTTAACTTTTTCGGGGGAACACCACTTAGAGTGGGGTGGGGTATGACTTCGACACATAAACACATACGGCTTGCAATCCCCTGTGAGAAAATCTTTGATCCACCTCAGCAACTTTTCGCTCATTTCAATTTCTGATGGTTTGCACATCGGACTTTGTATGGGACGTTGACAAAGGCCTTCTTGAAATCAGAGTATATTGCGTCAACCATAGCATTTTCGCCTGGTGTGCAAGTCCACTGTTCAGTCTAGAGCAATAAACGGGAAATGCAAGAACGGTTTTGTCTGAAGTCTTGATAGAGTCCTGAAAGCAAATTGTACTCCACTATGAGCTCCATATTCACCTTCTTAAGTGTGATTCTCGTTATTTTACAGTAAATGCAAATTAGGCTGATTGGCCGATAAGTGTTGAGATTAGTGCCACCCCCAACTATTTATATCGGATAGATATTTGCTGACTCTCATTCGGTTGGTAGTCCCCCTAAATCAGATGACGGATGGGAGATATTTACTGGAGGCTTGGAGAGTTTTTTTACCAATTCTCCCTAAGAACTTAGTCAGTTAGTTTAGTCAGTTTATTAAGGGAATGAGGCTTTCGCCCTTGAGCACCCTATTCATGTCGATAAACAGAAATAAAGTCGTCAATTACATCAGCAAATGCGAAAAGTTAAGAAGTTAGCGGTAAGTGTGAGCCAGGCGCAAACTGCCGCCGCTAAAACAATCATGATTGTATGTACAGTAGGTTCTCAACAAGTGAGCGTCTAGTCTGCACTTAAAGGATTTGACACATTCGGAAAGAACGACGGCATCAGGGAGTCCATTCCATGCCCCGATGACCCTGTGTGAGAAGGCGTTCCGTCGGACGTCCGAATTAGCCCGCTTCCTTTGCAGTTTGAACGGATGATCACGCAGACGGTCAGTCCGGGCCAATTCAAAGAATTCATCAAAATCTAGGGCACACTCTCGGCTTCTGACAATCCTGTAGGTTTGAATGAGATCGCCGCACAGTTGCCTGTAATTTAGAGGAAACAGATTTAGTTCAGTCAGCCTGGTTTCATAAGGCAAATGATGAAGATTCTTGACCATCTTCGTAGCCATCGCCTGTACTCTTTCCATTCTTTGATAATCTTTCTTTAACCACGGTCGCCAGGCCTGGACTGCATACTCTAAGTGAGACCGGACGAATGCCCCATAGGTTTTTCCGAACAGCTCCTTGTCGATCTGCACAAATCCTCGCCTCAGCGCAAATAACACCCTTATCGCACTTTTGGCTGCCCTTTGACACTGTGAAGATGGTTTCAGAGAGGAGGTCATTAGGACTCCCAGGTCCTTCTGTTCCACAACATCAGAAAGGGGCTGACCACCAAGGACATATTGAAAGGAATCGTCCCCTTTACGGGTCCGTCTGGTGCGGAGTCTCAGGACCACACATTTGTCCACATTAAAATTGAGGAGACAGCGAGCTGACCAACTGTTTAGGCGGTTGAGACTGTCTTGAAGCGCGTACCTGTCTGCGTCAGATCTGATGGGTCTCCACAGCTTAACATCGTCAGCAAACATGATGGCGCTGCATCCCAGGTCGTCGACGCAGTCGTTAATGTAAACCAGGAATAGCAACGGCCCTAAGACGGGGCCCTGGGGTACACCACTTAGAACGGGAGTAGGAGTTGACCTTGAGGCCTCAATGCACACGGTTTGCGATCTCCCGTTAAGAAAATCTGTTATCCATGTCAGCAGCCTTCCTCTTATCCCAATTTCAGAAAGTTTGTAGATTAGGCGTTTGTGTGGGACGCTGTCGAACGCCTTCTTAAAGTCTGTGTATATGACATCAACCCTCCCATCCTCATCCAGTGCGCGAGTCCACTGCTCCGTCGAGAGCAATAAACTGGAAAGACACGAGCGGTTCTGTCTAAAGCCGTGCTGCAGGTCTGAGATCAAATGGCCCTGCTCCAGGAACTTCATTGTTGCTTTCTTAACTATGGTCTCCATTATTTTACAGCAGATACAGGTTAGACTAACAGGCCGGTAATTGTTAGCATTAGTGCGAGCCCCGCCCTTGTATATCGGAAAGATATTTGCTGTCTTCCATTCCGATGGCAACCTCCCTAATTCGAATGACGAGCGGAAGATGTGCGCCAGTGGTTTGGAAAGTTCATTCGCCAGTTCCTTCAAGAATTTGGCCGGTATATTGTCCGGACCCGAGGACTTTGCTTCTTTGAGATTTTTCAGCTCCCTTTCCACGGCAGCTGCCGGGAAGAGTATGGAGTCAAGCACGGGACCAACAGTCTCAAGAGCATTGCCGGCACTGCGACAGCGAAACTCTGTTTCTCTAGTAAAAACGGAGGCAAAATACTGTCCTAAGTGTTCGGCTTTCTCGTTGTTCTCAATGATCTCTACACCATTATCATCCTTCAGCACCGCGACCGGGTCCTTATTTTTCAGTCTACTGTTCAGATAGTGAAATAAAATCTTAGGCTTCTGTTCAGCCTGTCGGATAATTTTGGATTCATACTCCTTCCGTACCTGACGGATACATTTTTGACGGCGTTTCGTTGACGACGAAATTCTTCGAAATGCGCTGGTGACGCAGTTTCCCTGCTATATTGTCCAAACCCAATGGTTTTGCTTCTTTGGGATCCCACAACACCATTTCACGACAGATTCCGTTAGGATTATACAGCCAAACATGGAACCGATGTTTACGGCAGCATCCTTGGCAATGCGAACCTGAAGTTCAGTTTCCCTTGTGAATATCGGGGCGAAGAACCGGTCCAAGTGTTCGGCCTTCTCAAAGTTTTCAACTATTTCTACATCGTTGTCATTCTTAAATATTGCGAGTGGTTCCTTGTTTTGCAGTCGACTATTAATATAGTGGAAAAATCTCGGACTTCTGTTCAGTTGAGTTCAGTTTATTGAGGAAAATAGGCGTAAGCCTTTGAGTACCCTATTTGCAACAAAAATATGTGTGGTGTACAGATAGATGTTCTGGGCTGAAATAGTTCGAGCACGCCCATAATGATGGGACAAAATGAGAAGGAGTTACAGGGGGTGAGCTCGACTTCTCATCGCTCTTGGTCATTTCGGAACATAAATATGTCCAGATTCTCCTTAAAACTTTGTATAGATGGTGACATCACAACATCTGCGGGAAGCTCATTCCATGGTTTGACCACCCGAACCGAGAAGGAGAACTTCCGCACATCCAGCCGTGCCTGCTGAGTGCGCAGTTTTAACGGGTGACCTCGGAGGTTGTTAGTGGTAGCAAATTCAACGAAGTTCTCGAAGGCCAGACTGCAATCCAACCCCTTAACAATGCGGAAGGCTTGCAAGAGATCCCCGCGAAGTTGCCTGTAACTCAAAGGAAAGAGGTTCAGATTTACTAGGCGAGTTGCATAAGGAAAGGAGCTTTGACCCCTAACCATCTTCGTGGCTCTCCTCTGGATTCTTTCGAGGCAGTTTTGATCCACAACAGCCCACGGCCTCCAAGCTTGTATGCCGTACTCTAAATGCGGCCGGACGAATGTTCCGAATGTCTTAGAGGAAGCTTCTTCGTCAAAGTCCATAAACGCACGCTTGATGGCGTACAGTACGGACATTGCGCTTTTTGCCACCCTCGAACAGTGGGCGGATGGTTTTAGGGAACTCGTCGTAAGCACACCGAGGTCCCTTTGGGCTTCGACCTCTTGTAGGGCTGCACCGCCCAGAAAGTAGCCTCTTGTGCTGGCGAATCTGGCTGTGTTGCCTAGGCGAAGTATGCTACATTTTACAACGTTGAACCGCAGGAGCCAACGGTTTGACCACTCCTCCAACCGATTCAAGTTGATCTGCAGTCTGTCTTCGTCGGTAGGACCCCGAATTACACTCCATATCTTCATGTCATCCGCAAACATTGCTACTTCGCAGTATAAAGCTCTTGCAGCATCGTCCACGTAGATAAGGAACAAAATGGGTCCCAGTACTGAACCCTGGGGGACACCACTCTCGACCATAGCCGGATCTGACATTCCCCGACCGATGCAGATAACCTGATGTCGACCCACAAGGAAGTTATCAATCCATTTAAGGAATTTGCCACTGATCCCTATTTTGTTAAGTTTATGTATGAGACTTTGGTGTGGCACAGTGTCGAAAGCCTTCAGGAAGTCGATGAAGGCTATGTGGACCGCGTGCCTGTCGTCGAGAGCTCGGGTCCAGCTCTGGAGAGATTGCAGCAGGTTTGTCGTGCAGGATCTTCCTTTTCGGAACCCATGTTGGCATTTCGATAGCAGGCCGTGAACTTCCAGGAATTGCATCAGTTCACTCTTTATGATCCTTTCCATAACTTTGCAGAGAATGCATGTCAAGCTTATGGGCCGGTAATTTGTCGTCGCAGCCCTGTTACCTCCTTTGTGTAGCGGAGTAATATGCGCCAGCTTCCAATCGACAGGAAGTGTTTCAGTGTCAAATGACTTTTGAAAGAGCATCGACAAAGGCACAGAGAGCTCACTGGCAAGTTCCTTCAGAAGCTTGCGTGGAATCTCGTCTGGTCCTGGTGACTTCGATTCGTTCAATGTCTCTAATTCTCTTCGGACAATGCCTTCTGAGAAGAGTATATCACTGACGCTTGGAGTCGGCAGTTCTTCTGTGGAGGGAGGTAGGAACCTTGCCTCGTTTGTGTAGACTGATTGGAAAAACCGTGAAAATTACGCAGATTTATCCCTACTATCAGCGATCTCAACGCCATCAGTAGTCTTTATCAAGGGGATTTGATGCCTGTTCCTTGTAGTTCGTCGGAGGTAGCTGTAGAGCAATTTTGGGTTCTGCGTTGCTTTTTGTAGCAAGTTCTTTTCGAATTCCCGCCGCGTCTTCATTATCAGCTTCCTCAGTTTGTTCCTCTGTGTCTTGTAGGTGTTGAAGCATTCAGCTTGTCTACTGACGCAGTATTTTCTCCACAATTTGTGCTTCCTGTTGATTTCTTTCTTGAGGTCGCTATTTAGCCACCCAGGGCGTTTGTTCAGTCTTACACTGGTCAGTGGGCAGTGGTTATTGATAAGCTGCAGAAGGACATTCTTGAACAGCTCCCAGTCATCGTTGGCACTTCCCGTAAACAATGAGCCCCAGTCAAGACCGGAAAAGTCTGCCCTCATCAAATTGAAGTCGCCCCGCCAAACATTACGCCTTTTTTGGTCTGGAGTATGTGAAATGGAGAATAACGAATAATCCCACATAAGCACTACGTGGTCACTTCGGCCAAGGGGCGGCATGGAGGCGATCTCGTCTATGCTGTCTAGTGTTTTCGTAAAGACCAGATCCAGGCAGTTTGTCCTTTGTCCTTCACGTGTTCTCGTTGGGAACACTACAAGTTGTGTGAGGCACGCATTTAATGTCTTGCTCAACAGGCGGTAATCGAATGCCGATTTTGGACCTGACGCTTGGAGGGTATTCCAGTTTGTTCCTGGTGCGTTGAAGTCGCCCATGATCATAATGTTAGGTCGACTGGAAAATTTCTCCAACTGCTCCAATAGTTGAGCGTCGGCGATTCGGTCTGTCCTAGGTGGTCGGTAGACAGTGAGGACATCGAGACACAGGGAACCGGTAGCCTTAATGGTCAACCAGATAGCTTCCGTACTGCACGCAAACTTGGTGGTGTTATCCGACACTGCCAGACCGTCATTCACATACACAACGATACCACCACCCTGACGATGTCCCCTGTCCCTCCGATAAATTTGGTATCCAGGCAAGGCTACTTCGTTATCGCTAATATTCCCGGACAGCCAGGTCTCAGTTACTGCTAAAACATCTGGAGACAGCTCAACAAGGCAAAGTTTTAGTTCGTCTAGTTTCGATATGAGGCTTTGGGCATTCGTGTACAAGCACCTCAGTTTAGCACCAGCCGAATTTCCCGTTGCATTTGTTACTGCTGTGAGCATTACTCCGTTATTGCGGACGTCGTGTTCTCTAGGCTCTTCCGTTACCTGATTGGTTCCATTTACATGCCCTGTTTCAGTCAGATCACTGGACGCTACGGGCTCACTTGTGTTGGCGCCTTGATCAGGTGGTTCAACGAAGGTGTCTGTTTTAGCTGAGTAGCTGTCGTCGTTCGTAGTATTACAGGCTGGTTCCACTGCCATGCAACCATCTTACACCGGAAAGCATAAAAGCACTGTTAACGGTCTCATTCCCGAACACTCAGATTATTGACTTCGAGAAGGGTCCTCCTGGAATTTAGTGGTAGATTAAGTGGTAACTCTTAATTATATCATTAGAAACCCCTGTTTTGAATTTGTTTCTAAATCCATTGTTTTCCTCCTCCCCCCCGATAGCGACAATTTTCGCGGTTTTTGATGTCATCTCCCGCATTCCGACCTCATGCGGTCTGTCGACGCTCACGGCGGAACCCTCAGTATTCACTATCTACGAGTAGTTCGGTCGTACCTCCCTTCCTCACTGCTCGGCTGAGCTCGAAGCGTGCTGTGGCCGATCGCATCTCGGTTCCTCTCGTCTGGCCTCTTTGACGCGGCGTACCAATCGGGCCCAGACGATCTCAATTGTGAATCCCGTATACAATGCCATTTGCAAGCCAGTCCTGTCTGACTCACATTCGTACCCATCAAGGCTGACATTTATTGCTACCCTGATGATGACCGACAACATTCCGTTATATACCGCCACCTACAGGCCAGTCCTGCTCGCTTTTTTCTGTCATTATTTTTATGGAGGGGTTTTTTTTCTCCTGTAAAATTAATCCAATAATTTTTAACTTTTCGTAAGGAATTTTTTTCACCCCTCAATCATCATGTTTCTAAATGGACTTCTAATTCAGAAACTAGGAATTGCATTTTGTAAAGATTCGGCCTACCTCGTCTAAAACTCGCATGCAAATTTATTTTAACTTGCTTTGATGGGACCCCGACGGGTCTTTAATAAAAAAATATCTATTTATCTATCTATTTACCTTAAATTCGTAGTCTCTTCTCAGCTGCCGGATCCATTTTTCGAACACATTTCGTTGGCGGCCAAATTCGTCGGGGTGTTTCGATGACCCAGTTTCCCTGACTAGTTTCGCTACGTGTGCGCTATGGTGCCTTGTTTACCAGTTAAAGAGACTGTTCGTTTTTATACCTTCGAAGGACAACAACACCGAATCAAATCTAGCGAAAACGTCTTAAATGACCCCCAGTCGTCCATTAGATCCCCTTCAGCAACGTTCTTAATTCCCGGACATTGATCTGTTCTTCATCATGTTAAAATTTGCCTTCTGCGTGTTCAGCTGACGTCCTTTTAAGGCGTTAAGAAATGAGCGAGTAATCTGACAGTAGTTCACTATGGTCACCATCACCTAAAGGTGCACTAGGATATACTTCGTCTATGTTATAGAAGTCTTTCGTAAAAACTGGGTCTAGGCAATAGGCCCTCTAGTTCTCTCTAAATCTCCTTGGTGTTTTTCCACGCCGTGCCAGAGGGAGGTTAAGCATAGGGTCACTTATCTCACTTCTGAAGAAATTTTGAGCACGGTCAACTGCCAGATTTTACCAGTCTTTTGTAGATGTGCTGGAATCTCCAGCAATAGGAACCCCTGGGTGTCTAGCTACTCCCTTGACCATTCGTTGAATAGAATTTTGGTTGAATCACGCAAACTACCCTGGGTTTGTGATTGTTGTTTCAGTTACTTTGTAGCTCCGATAAAGTCAAGGGTAGCAAACACAGTTGAACGGGTGACACAGAACGGCTCTTCGGTCAAAGAAAATACTGAACGGAGCTCTTAAGTACAACTTCAAGCACGCGTACACAGATATTGTACAAAAAGAAGTATGAAGCGAATGAAATCTAGTGCTACGTGAATGGAAGAATAGAAACGTAAACGTGAGATAAAACGATCAAGGAGGAAAATGAGAAGCTGTACGAATGATTCACTTGGCGTGAGAGTTGGTCCCATCATATCAGTTATATAGGTAGGGAATGCAGCGCTGTCGGCAACAGCGGGGAATGGTAGTGGAGTGTGTTGACAGCAGAGGGAAGGAGTGAAAGCGGAATAAGATGTCAGCGGTATGGAGGAAGGGGACATCGGTGATCTTCGCTGGCAGCGGTTTCACTACTCCCTCCGGGATCCGCGTTAAAAGTGATCACTATATTCAAGCAACCTTGCCCAGTCCGTTGGGCGTAAAAAATGGCATCGTAGTGTCATGATGGTGAAGAGCGACTTCTCATTCTAGTTTAGTATGCCAGCCACATAGGATCAATAACTTTGTACGTAGTATGCAGGAAAGACTAACGAGACAGATGGGGTTTGCTTGTGTCGTGTGAACTTACCTATTATTCAATATCAGCGAACAAATGGGCTGATTTAAATGGATTTGCGGTCAAATTCCCTTCAGGCTAACTCATCTGCTTCGGTAGTCAGTTTGCCCAATCAGCGTGCTGGTTGCTGACGAATGCCGTGCATACTAATGCTTTTGAATTGCCCTATTGGGGCACTTTCCTATCAGCCTATCAGTTATTCGTTAACCTAAATACTGGAAAAAGACTCAATTATTTTAAAAGCCACCTGAGGAGATTTACACACAAGCTTCCCTTTGCTGATGGTTTAGTTCAAAACCATAATTTTCTAACGTCAGGATAGGGCCTACCATCAATATTTTTGTTTTTTTTAAATAGTATCTCTTGCAGAAAACCGGGCCGTGGATCTTCCAATATTTTCAGCAATATTTATAAAGTTTGCTGCATTTGATATTTTATGATCTTCAGCATACTTTGGTTTGCCTATGGCGTCGACTTTTATTGATGTTAATGCAGTTTTGTATGTTTCTATAAATTTCCACACACCAAGGACCAATGCTACGACGTCCGCCTGTCAGCAAGAGTAACGCATTTTGGTGCTTTTCACGCAGGCCTTCCGCAATTTCAAGTGCCTTCGGCTGTGTAAAATACATTTTCGTGATCTTCGTATTCAGGTAGATAATATTTACCCCTTTGCCTATCCACCTTTAATTATTTAAATGTAATTATATATAAATGATCTTAGCTTAAGCTAACTTATGCTCTTTTTCAATCCCGTATTATCACCCATCACAAGCACTCTACCGCCACCTCATCACGGTGCGCCAAGCGCCGTGTTTAAAGGGTTGCTGCCTGACGGCCCAACTAAACCCACGCAGTCTGGCCGACTGGTGGGCTGAAAGCCAGGCTGTCACGGCTTCATCTTAACTGGTCCGTGGCACTCACTCCTTTGATGATTGTATGTGTGCTTTATGCGTAGTTTTTATCAATCAACGACTGTTTCATTATCCAGCCTTCAAAGGTGACGTTCCAGGCAAATGCAGGGTGACGTGCCATCTTTCTGGGCCAAAAGGTCTGTAAGCGTCTACCATGCCAAGATCCGTAAGCCATGGCTCTTGCAGTCCGACATGCGCTGGCGGTTGCCTGACACTTCATTCCCTTCCGGTAGATGGTCTTGCGTCCCCACTGGGTATACAGGTCGTAGTCGTGGCTGTTCAGCCATCCTTCTCTTTCTGACCCGTCCTGGTTTTGTTGTTGTTGGTTAAAATCCTGGTCAAGAGTTGTGACCATGGGGTGGGAAGTGGAACGCGAATGTGCGGGCTTGACCATGCCATCCACCTGCGCCTTCACCGCCTCTGATCTTCTTGACTCTGCCTCGACATCGGGCTCGGGTGAGGGGAGGAGAGAGTGTGGTAGATGCTGTGCAAGTCCACTATCACTGTAAACTAACTCACGTGCGAGTCACCGTCCCCGTTCCGCCTTGCCGTGGGGCGCACACTGGAGATAATCAGAAACGACTTGCTTTGATGGGACCCCGACGGGTCTTTAATAAAAAATTAGTAACCATCTTGTCTTATAATCTTGGCGTTCCTTTTGCATCTCTGTCGTGTATGGAGTAAGCTGTGGTTGCTAATTAGTCCCTTGCCTATTCGGAAGTCAGTTCTGAAAAGAATATCGGTAACGAGTTACAAAGTGGCCGCACTTCGCGACCTCTCCTTGTCAATACTACTGAGGTCGTAATCGGTGGACGTGTTGATGCTCCTAAAAAGACAGGACAGTTTGATTTCCTTCCAGAGACAATTTTCTACACTTTTTGAGTGTCGGGTTGGTATTAATGAATAGCACTAGGGTCCAAAGATATGGGTAATGTTTAGGGGTCAGAGATAAGGATTAGGCTGAGTTTTGCCGTTAGTGATGTGTTTGAGGGCTAAATTCAGGGCTTGAAGATTAGGCTTAGGTTTCGGCGGCCATAGCCAGGATCAGGCTTAGGGTTAGCATTCGACTCAGGGTTGGCGTCTAACGTTCAGGATTAGACTCCAAAGATTAGGGTCAGTTTAACGATTTCAAAATTATGGTCAAGTTACGATTGCAAAATCAGGTTTTGAATTAGGATTATGGTTCGGGTAAATATTAGGGTTGTAAGTAGGATTAAGGTTGGGTCGAGGTTAGGGTTCATCGCTTAGGTTTGCGCCGAGTTGAGATTAAGGGTGTTATGACCCGCCTGGTACTTGAAATCCCGTGGAGCGTATACGCACTCGACCCTGGTCACCAATATCAAGGCAGCAGACAAAGAACACACGTCTGGCCACGGAACGTGTATTAGCAAAACAATGCAAGTCACGTCTAGCTAAGGGTGACGCATATTTATCACACGCTAGCGTGGTTCGCCGGCACTCGGTCCAATGACCTTCGGGAAGAGGGGAGTAGCCAATGGGAAAGCGCCTGATTGCGATGACAGCGCGGTAGAGAGAGAGCAAACGCACGTGATCTCCATTGATTGGTTTGCTCTTGTTTTTGGGAGTGTAGGCACTCCCAACACCTCCCCTCCAAGTGGGTCAGTACCGCTTTTGGCGTGGATTGATCTGCATCGGCAGTGTTGATCGGCGCACGCGGTTGGTCCGGCGTCTTATTTGTGGTTTGTTGTCTGGAGACCCGGGGGCAGCGACTGATACCGAAGGCGGTACATCCGAAGGAGTCGCAGCAGTGGGTTCAGGAACCGACCGATCTGCCGGAATGGCGAAGGTATCCAGTAGGATGTCAAGGGGGAGTGACGGCGCCGGATCGAGCCCAGTTGTGTTATTGCAATGTCGCTGTCGGATCTGGTTGTGGTGACGAACCCAGATTTCACCACCAACGTCGACGTCAAACAACATACTGCCTCTGTGCGCTGCCACGGTTGCTTCAATCCAGTCTGGGAACTCCGCTCGATAATCACGGACGAAGACAGGCGTTCCGATGGAGAGCTTGCTGCGAGAGACTGGAGAAGTCTGCGCGGGCTGCGCACCGGTAGGGACGAGGGCATGAAAAGTTGTACGCAGTTTCCGGCCTATCAACGCTTCGGCAGGAGAAACGCCACCAGGGGAAGCCGGGTTCGGTGTTGTCCTGTAGGAAAACAGGAATGCCTGGACTATCTCGTCCGTGGTCCCCTCCCCACGAGCTTTCAGGAGGGCTCTCTTAAACGTGTCGACAAAACGCTCCGCCTGACCGTTAGACTGAGGATGTTAGGGCGGGGAGCGAAGATGCTGGATGTTGTGCTGGCGGCAAAAATCCTCAAACGACAACGAAGTAAACTGAGAGCCATTATCTGAAACCAGGACTTCTGGTAAGCCATGTTGGCTAAAGATGCGTCGTAGGAAGGCGATAGTGGAAGATGCGGTTGCTGGATTCAGTGGAGCAATCTCGGGCCATTTCGAGTAGGCGTCAACCAAGATTAGGTAGGAGACTCCGTTAAGTGGGCCAGCGAAGTCGATGTGCACGCGTGACCAAGGCCTCTCTGGTGGTTCCCAGGGTACTGGCGGTTGACGAGGCGGCATCTTGGCAGCTTGCTGACATCGAGAACAGCGTCGAACCAGGTCGTCGATGTCGCCGTCGATACCCGGCCAGTAGGCAAAACTGCGAGCAATAGACTTCATTCGGCTGGTACCAGGATGAGCCGCATGGAACTGGCGTAGTACAGTGGGTCGGAGGGAAGATGGGATCACCACACGGTCTGCAAACATGAGGCAGGAGTCAACCACAGATAGCGATGCTCGGCGGAGGAAGAGCTGGCGAAGATCGCCAGCGAGAGCAGTGGTTGGCCAGCAGGTCTGCATGTAGGTGATGGCCTGGTGGAGGACAGGGTCCTGTTCAGTAGCACGTCGGATGTCCGCGGCAGTGACGGGGATACCTCGTATGGCGTCTGATAGCTGACGGCGCACATCGTCCTCAATCGAAATAGCTGCAATCACGGTATCTTCCTCCGGTTCCTGCTGATTGCTGATGAGGCGAGACAGGGCGTCAGCCTGACCAAAGTCTGTAGTACGACAGTAGTGAATGTCGAAATCGTAGCCAAGAGGGATGGTTGCCCATCGCTGAAGTCGGCTGGCTGAGTAGACGGGAATGCCCTTCTTCGAACCGAAGATTGACAGCAACGGTTTGTGATCCGTCAACAACGTGAAGTGGCGACCGTACAACAGTTTGTGAAATTTCTTGACGGCAAACACGAGGGCTAGAGCCTCTTTCTCTATTTACCCATAGTTCTTCTCCGCAGGGGTTAGCGTGCGAGATGCATGCATGATCGCCTTTTCAGACCCATCAGGAAAAGTATGTGAGATGACGGCACCAACTCCGTGGTTGGAAGCATCTGCAGCAACAACGATCGGCAGCGTCGGGTCGTAGGGCGTGAGCAGCAGATCTGAACTCAGCATCGACTTTAGCTGGGCGAAGGCCTTTTCACAGTCGGGGACCAGCACCAGGGAGCATCCTTCTGCAACAGACGGTTGAGCGGGGCCCTTACGTCATGCAGCGATGGTAGGAAGGCGCTATAGTAGCTGATCAGGCCAAGGAACGAACGAAGTTGCGATACATTCTTGGGGGCAGGCATCTGTTGGATGGCCCGAATCTTTTCAGGATCTGGATGGCGACCATTGGCGTCAAAAACGAATCCAAGGTACTTGATGGAGTCGAGGAGGAATTTGCACTTGTCGGCTCGTAGGCGAAAGCCATATTCCTGCACGCGTTCAAGTACTGCGCACACTCGGTCTTGCAGCTCGGCAGGGGAGCGACCCAAGATGATGATGTCGTCCAGGTAACCAGCTGTGCCAGGGATGCCGGAGAGCATTGCGTTCATCGTTTGTTGAAATAGGGCCGGGGCGGTCTTGACACCAAAGGGCAGCCTGGTGCATTGGAACAGACCGCGGTGGGTATTGATGGTCAACAATTCGCGCGACTCTGGGGCGACCTCGATCTGCAGATACGCATCAGCGAGATCCAACTTGGCAAAGCAAGTGCCACCATTTAGCAGGGTGAAAAGATCAGCCGGAACCGGTAATGGATAGCAGTTCGGCGTCAGCGCGGCATTGAGACCGGTAGAGAAGTCAGCACAAATGCGGGCCGAGCCATTGGGCTTCTTAACCACAACGGTTGGAGCGGCCCAGGCGGAGTAGGATACAGGAACCAGAACTCCCAGTTCCTCTAGACGTTTCAGTTCAGCCTCGACAAGTGGTAGGGCTGCATATGGGACTGGTCGCTTTGGACGGAAGACTGGTTGACTTCCAGGAGACAGATGTAGCACGGCTTGAGTGTATGTGCAACGACCCAGGCCGTCTTGGAACACTGGAGCAAACCGTTGGAGAATGTCCTTGGCTTGGTCTGCAAGCACAGCGGGAATCTGCACCTGACTGCAAACAACGCGGAGCGGCATATCGGCCAACCCAAGTTGTTCAATCCAGTCGAGACCAAGTAGGTTTAGATCAGACTTGGTGATGTAGCAGATCGCAGTGATGCTGGTACCGCGGAACGACACACAGCATTGCAGCTGCCAATTAGCTGTACGAGACCACCTCACGCGCTTGTGGCGGACTGAGAAGTCTGCTGCATCGTTGGGCTGCCAAGGGACTGCCAGAGTCTCTCAGAGATGATGGTGATATCAGAGGCAGTGTCCAGCTGTAGACGAACTGCATGGCCATTGAGCAAGACATCAACAAATTTTCTACGACCAGACGCATTGAGCTGGAAAGCGGCCAAAAGACTGAGAGAATTACCCACGGACTGGGGTTTCGGCTTGCGTTTTGACCGGAAACGGTGCCTGGAATTAGGAGTGGCGGGGCTGGCTTGCCTCCAGAAGCTGGTACTGATTTGCAGAACCCATCACGGTGTCCCACCTGATTACAGCTTTGGCAGCGATGCTGGCGGAAAGTGCGATCCCGGTGGAAATGCCACGCGCCACAGTGCCGACAAGGAGATGGCGGAGATCTCGACTTGGACACTTGCTTGGGCCGTGTAACAGGATGCGATTTGGTCGATGTGACCGTATGGACTGAGAAAGATGAGGCCGGGTTCTGAATCATTGCAGAGTCGTGCTTGAGATTTATCAGCGTTTGGCACTCTGCTGCCAGCTCTTGGAGTGTGGTAGAGTTGTTCTGCTGCACTTTGGACAGGAGACGTGTCCGGATATCAGCATCCTTGGTGGACTGGAGGCCGCAGATAAATATAAGGCATTTAAACTGGTCTTCAGTGAGAGAACCGAGTTGGAAACGCCCACACTCACGATTAACAATGCCCGCGTACGTGATGAAATCATCGGAATCTCGTTTGCACAGTTGGAGACACTGAAATCGAGTGTTGAAGAGGGATGATTGCTCACCAAAAATCTGCGACAACGTCTGAACCGTGTCCTTGAAAGCGACTTCCCGGGGATTCTTGGGAAGGATGAAGTTTGCATAACGCTCGTGTTCAGCCGGACCCAGTTTGCGAAGTAGAAGTCGGACCTTCCATGCATCTTCCTGGGCAGCCAGATCGACAGAGAACAAGTCCTCGTATCGCTTGTACCAGGAATCAAAGGTGATATGGGCCTGAGGGTCATACAAGAATTCGGTGATGCTGCCGGCAATGTGATCAACAGATTGTGAACCACCAGCCGCGCTTGATTGGCCCATAGATGAATTGGATAGCTTGACGGTCAGAGCCTCCATCAGCTTCAGCTGCTGCTGCAACATCTGCTTCAAGTCTGCGTACTCGTCAGCCATTGTAGTTGAGATACTGCGTCGCCAATTTGTTATGACCCGCCTGGTACTTGAAATCCCGTGGAGCGTATACGCACTCGACCCTGGTCACCAATATCAAGGCAGCAGACAAAGAACACACGTCTGGCCACGGAACGTGTATTAGCAAAACAATGCAAGTCACGTCTAGCTAAGGGTGACGCATATTTATCACACGCTAGCGTGGTTCGCCGGCACTCGGTCCAATGACCTTCGGGAAGAGGGGAGTAGCCAATGGGAAAGCGCCTGATTGCGATGACAGCGCGGTAGAGAGAGAGCAAACGCACGTGATCTCCATTGATTGGTTTGCTCTTGTTTTTGGGAGTGTAGGCACTCCCAACAAAGGGCAAGGATTGGACTCGAAAATTAGGGTTGGGCTGGGGTTAGGGTTAAGGGCCAGGTTAGTGTTACGATTAGGATGAGGTTTGGGGTTAAATATAATTTTTCAATGGTCGTTGGTAAGATATTCGGTAAGCAAATACATGAACAACTAGTTAAATTAATGAGTGTCTAACTAAACAACTAACTGGTAGTGGCAGTGAACGTCAAATCTTAACATTTTCGAGAAGCCATGTAATACGGCAGAAGCTCACCGATTTTTCTTCTTTGCTTTACGAAAGTGGCCTTTTAAAATTTTAGAACCAGTTGACAGAGACCTCATCCCACCCCTCGCCTCAGCGTCCTGCTCTACGCCCCCCGTTGCTCGCTTGAGCATTGATCTGGAAGTTGCTGTCCGAGAGACACTTACGTGATCGATTCTCGTCGATGGTATTATCTAACGTCTGAAATCTTGTTGTTTACTGTTTATTTTATCTTTATCTCACAATAAAACGCTCTGGTATCGCCTCTGTTGACAATTAACCGTTAAAATACTGTGTCATTATGTCTGCCAAGTCACATGGTCAATCCATTGTGGAACCTTTTTCCGTTGACCGTCCAGTGAAGGACCCTAAAGGAACCGATGATCTGAAGTCTACATATGGCAAGAAGTGGCTGGGTCCTATGATTATTCGGTTACTTTTTATTTCAAACTCTACATATTCTTAATAGCTACCATTTTCCCCACCCACAAAACCCGTAATTGCCTCCCTTCCGTTTTACACTGACCACTGCCCTGGGCTTTGTAGGGGCGGTCAAGTTTTCAGTCCCCGCCAGAGTATCCAGGACCGTGGATGCGGAGCTCGTGAATCCACGGCGCTGTCCTCTGAGTGTTCTGTAGAGGCATTAGAAAAGCTGCTAATACAAGAGAAAGAGAAAGAATGATCCCTAAATCCGATAACTATTGGCTATGCTGGCGTTTTTGAAGTGGGTCTGAAAAAACCTAAGTAATCGTCGAAAGTCCCAGCAGAATCCTAGAATGGGCAGATTAGGGATGACATCCAGCTGCAGGAAAATTGCGTTTGCGCGCGACCAGCCAGACTGTCCAAGAATAGCCGCAAAATGCTAAGGGCGAAATGGGTGAACAAAAAGTAGTATAGCACAAAAAAATTAATAAATGAACACCTAACCGTAAAAGTGTTTACTTTTCCGACTTTAGCTATGCATACATGATTGAACGAAGAGACATTGGCATCTAATAAGCAAGTGGATGGTCTAGTATTTGCTGCTGACGGTAGACATCATCATCCTTCTACTCCAGGGTTCAAGTTTGGTTCCAGCGCAGTCAAGAAACTGCATAAAGTCGGCACCTGGGGTCTACGACCGCATCTTCAGGCACCAAGGTTTGGTAACTCGTTGTAAATAACTCGTCTGTGAAGCACGGGTACACACACGCTGTTTAAATAACCTTTCTTGATATCCTTTACGAATATGTCGGTGGGTAAGCTGAAAAATCACCTCGGTTTTCACTTATTTTGTCATTCGCATCAGTGGCGTCTGCACGTTTTCACCTATGCTATAACATTGAAAGTTCGGATTGGCTCTGGTGTTTCTCGAAGGTTTGTCCGGCTTTGGACCTTCTTTGTAACTCCCAAAGTTCAAAATTCAAAGAAATAACCAGCGTAGCAAGCTCGAAGCGAGCTCGCATAAGACTCTTGACACAGGCTGTACGAGCTCAACTTACGGTCGGATGTGTTCACGGTTCAAAACTCAGTCCGTCTTCCTGCGTTGGGATGTTGGCAAAATCAAACGTAGAAGACATATCTTCATTGTAAGAAATCAATAAACCGAAACCATGAGTAAAGCTGTCCGACGACATCGAGGATGATGCATCCGACGACGACATTTGCTTCACCTTTTCGTTGATTCCTGGTAACACTTCTTTAGTTTCCCTTCGTGCGTGACGTCGCTGGTTTCGACTGCCTACACAAGTCAACACAGTTGCCACCACAAACGAAAAAATACCAGCTAGGCAATATGGGTCAGATGAACAAAAAGGACATCGAAGTAAGCACATCGTGCTCGCGCCAACGCGACAAAACAGGAAGTGGCGCCGGGGACTGTGTGCGTTAAATTGAACACCAGAGACAATCGATTAACAAGCGCGAATGCGTGCACTCCCTTACACCCATAGCAACGCCAGCGCAGCGGACCTAACAACAAATCATACGACGGGCTCAATTAAGTTTCGTCATTGCTCGTACAGGCGAGCTCGCTCCGTGCGACGCACCGCAAATTCGACACTGTTGTCTGAGCGAACTAATGTCAATTCGGCGCGGATTCCCGATGAGTCGGGTTGATCGTCTGCCACCCTAGAAGCAAACCATACCGAGGCGATATCGAGTAGATATCCATTTTACAAGATGCTTATATTGAGTAGAAATCGATTTTTTCCGCTGTCCAAATATCGAGTAGATGCTTATTTTCAAGATACGCCGGAAACGGTGATAGCGGGGCGTTAGGCAATGCGCACGCTGCATCTACTTAACTCAATACCCGTACTTTATTTTCTTACTTTCAAATTGTCTTTGTCATCCCATTCCTGGTTTACTTAGCCCACTACTTTACGCGTTAGTTGAACGGCCAAACTGATACGACTATGCCAACGGCGGTCAATTATTTCGAAGACAGGTTAATTGGAAAATTTTTATTGAATTAAATGAGGTTAAAAATTTGTTCTATTGTTGGCGGTTGCGAGGATGGAAGACGACCTCCTGTCGAAGATCTCGGATTGTTTTCTATAGGACAATATTAATTTTATTAAACTTGAAGTTAACTCACCTGCCCAAATAGACCTGTCACTGTTCTTTGAAACCGTTGTACGTAATTGCCCAATTACTTTTTGAGTCGCGTCGTGAAGGCGGACTCCAGATCGGATAACTTAAAAGCGCCATTTTTGTTCCAAGCAGCGAAAACGTCTGCATAAATAAAATAGACAGTGAAACACCGAATTGCATACGTACCCTATATGACTTCAGTCAGTCAGTGTATTTGAGGGAAATATGCTTACGCCTTTGAACTCCCTATTTGCACATAAAAAATCGATAAATTAGCAGAATGTGATGAAATTACAGCAGTAAGTGTATGCAGGCATTGATTCACATATGACACTGGTTTCATGGCTAAAAAGTCACATAGTCCGCTTGGTGCTATAGCATATGTCTGTCAAGTCTAAAATTAAATGTCGCCACAGACTGAGACATGACAACCGTCTCGGGCATATTATTCCATGGTTTCACGACACGGTTGGAGAAGGAATATTTTCTTACATTCAATCTACCCTGGGGCACACGTTACTTGAAGGGATGTCCCCGGAGGTTAGTTGTTGTGGCGAGTTGGAAAAATTAATCGCACCGAAGGGCGCAGTTCAAGCCACGCACGATACGGAAATTTTGTATCAAGTCTCCGCGCAACTGCCTATAACTCAGAGGATAGAGATTAAGGTTAGTTAAGAGGATCTCGTATGGCAGTGCACTTTGACCTCTTAGTAATTTTGTGGCACGCCTCTGCACCTTTTCGTGCAGATTGTAATCCTGATGTGTCCATGGTCTCCAGGCCTGAATTGCATATTCGAGGTGCGGCCTTACAAACGTGCCGAAGACTTTGGAGAAGCAGTCTTCATCGAAAACTGCGAATGCCCGCTTGATGGCATATAGTATTGAAGTTGCGGCCTTGGCCGCCTTACAACACTGAGTAGAAGGCTTAAGGCTGTCTGCAACCCAGACTCCGAGATCTTTCTGTGTTTCTACTTCTCGAAGTGGTATTCCATTCAGATGGTATTGCCGCGTACTAGGGGTCCGATTTCCGAGGCGCAGTATGGTACATTTGGTCAAACTGAAGGACAAGAGCCATCTGCGGTACCACTCGTCCAATCGACAAAGATTTTCTTGGAAGATGGTCTCATCGGTAGCATTCTGGATAACTTTCCAGATTTTTATGTCATCCGCAAACATGGCATTATCACAATCCAACCCATCTACACAATCATTGATGGACAAGAGAAAGAGGGTTAGTCCGAGCACCGAGCCTTGTGGGACTCCACTCTCTATGAATGTGCGCCTTGATTGCTGTCTTTCTACGCAGACTTTATAAACTTCCAACTAACTAGGGCCACCCTTTAGCTTCCGCCCCTTAAATATGACGTGCGGACTAATCTCGCCCTCAAAAAGCGCAAAGTAGCTACTCTTCTTGAAGTCATCTTTAATTTAATTTAATTTATTAAATGCCAGTTTACAGGCATTGTCAAGGGAAGCGATTAAACACAAATCCGACCAGCAGTGAAAAAAAAACTCCTGAGGAATAAAAATATAGTTGATGATGTTTTTTATGGTTTAAAGGGTTCAGGAGAAAGGAAAACTGCTGGCGGTATATTTTCGACCGTCAAGAAGGGGGGGAGGGGGTTGCACGGTATCGAAGATCATCGGACGTCAATTCGTTTCATGGAGTAGTCAAAGTAGAGGCGTTGAGGAACAGCTGGTGAGACCGGCCATAGTGTTCAGAGACCACAAACGCCATCGCTACGGTAGAGTCGATCAGTGGATTCAGAACCCAAAATTTGAGGAAGCTTTTCTGAATGCAAAAATCGAGTAATAGTTCTCTTAAATAAAGGATAATTTTGCAGAGTTTTCACACTCATTGGTAGTTTATTCCAAATAGCAATTGCATTTACAGAAAAGAACCGACGATATTTAGCAATACGTGCCAGAGGCAGAAATAAGAAGACCTCACGGGGACTGTTACGTCGTGGGTGGATATGATGTCTTAAAGAAGTGAGTGGGTTAAATGTGTCATTATATAAGAGTTTAAATAACGAAAATAGTCCCTTTTGTAATCTACGGAACCATAAAGGTTCAAGGCCCGTAAGCTGGCAACGTTCTTGGTAAGACAAATGTCGGTATTCTGGGGTTAAAATTCTCTTGGTAAAAAAGTGTTGAACGGATTCTATTTTCTTTCGCTCAGAAGCACGCATGAGGCTAAATAAAAATGAACAGTATTCCAGACCAGGTCTAACGTACATGTTGTAAAGGCGCATTCTGATGTCCCTAGTTTTAAAGTTCCGGAGGATAAACCCGGTCGTTCTGCGTGCTTTGGAGACTATCAAGACACAGTGCTCCGAGAGATTGAGACTCTTAGAGTATGATATGCCCAGATCCTTTATAACCCTGGGCACATTTATGTTTCCACCCAGGCAGGTGAGGAATGAGACTTAATGCCCTGAATAGTGATAAAAGGGACGGCTTACCATTTGACTCCGTATTGTGGCGTCCTCAAGTAAGGCATTCAGCTGGTAGAATTCCGCTGCCGTCCTCACCTGTCTTTGTAATGGGTTTTTCGGCAGCGGGGTAGCCACCTGACCGGCGGGTCGCCCTTGAATACCCCGCGCCTCCAATTCCCTTACGCAACCGTGTAGTTGACGGTTACCGTCAATAAGAACGTCTTATTTTCTAGGCATACCTGCAATTTGCCGGATCAGCAGAGCCATGGCGCTGTCCAAACGTGCCAGCCGGTCGCTGGACAGAGGTTCTTGCTATTTTATGAGATAAGTCAGTTGAAAGGAGGTTTATTACCCCATATGTGCAGTGGCTCTCGTGATGGTAATGTGTCGTTGCAGTCATTCGCATCCTCATTGCTGTCTTTCATTTGCTAGGATTCAGAACAGCGTTATGTAGTGTAACTTACGGGCAAAGATATCCCTTCTACTCTGAAGCAGTGCAAGGCTTCATCCAGGGTAGACCTACTTTCCCGCAGAGGATTTCTGCGAGTTGGCTGACTCAAAGTAATCTCTACAAACGCACGGGTAGCAGTTGAATGAATGTTGATCTTGATAGTCTTTATCCCATTACTGTGACCAATTCCTCCCTGCAGTGTTTGCAAACTTTTCACTATGTGTACTGTGCGTTTATAGGGTTTCCGAGCACTCTTCGCTAGGGCGAAAGGACAGTAAGTGGCTTTCTAAAAACTATTAATTGGTTCTATCAAAACGTAACGAGTACCCTGTGGGAAATAGGCAAACTTGTTGAACGTATGCGGCAAAGGTGCACAGCTGATAATGCTCTCAAGGTCAACTGTATACACCTTTACCAAAAACGACTGCTCTGGATAATCAAAGTAATCTCAAAGGTTTACGAACTCACTTAATACTATTCGCAGGCACCTACTTCGGCCAAACAATATGTTCCCGACACAAACTCTCTTACCACCAGTGCTAATGCCTCGACTGGTCGGTGTGATATCAATCCTAAAACTATATGTGAGCACGCGCTGGCGTTGCTCACTGTCTTTGCATCCAACAGGAACTACTCCTGCATTATATCCATGAAGTAACTTAGGAGATTGTAACTTGGGTTGGCCGTGCGTAGTTACCCCGACCTCGCTGAGAAGCCTTGCAATCTGCAGCAGAGGTCGCAAAGGACTTCGGAGTAAACGCTTTGATCTATTTAGGTAAATTTCGAAAGGGAAAATAGAGAAAGAGTCCGACACACCATTACGTTCAACCTCGTCCGCAATGTGCTTAGGGCTGTGTACATTGTGAACCCTGTGTTCAACACCGTATAAATGCGAAAATTTTTGGTCGAACAACTTTAGTAACTGCGTACAATAACCTACGCTGCTGTTACACTAACTGAGTTAATTAATTAACTCAGAGAAGTCAGCGGCTATAAAAAAAAGTTTTACAGTGCTTATGAGGCAGGATATCTGAGGGAACAAGAACACCAGAATATAATAGGAACTGCCTGGACTCCGTTGCTTTCCATGTTTTGAGTTCACTTAATTATCTATTCCGTTGAGGAAATTCTGCCGGTAGGTAAGAATTAATGGTGCGAAGTGTATTGTTTATAGCCTCGACTTCCTTTGCCTTCAATATCGACGGCTGACCACGAAAACTTGCTTTTGAAGGATGACTCCTAACTTACGACTTCAGCAGCTTTTTCGCTGCACCCAAGTAAATTTGATGTAAAGGATCCAGAGGAAAATTGGAGAGACGTCCTAAGTTACAGGACAAAATGGGGATATCCTAGCAATGTGGTCGTCGTCTGTAGGCTGCAAAAAGTTATCATCTTTCCTGTACCCATCCCGTTCCTCGTGGTACACAAGCTTTCTCATATATGCTTCTATTACTTTGCACCGTTCGCATCCGTGGAAGGCATTCATGTCCTTAATCTGCTTAACAAAAGCCCTGGCCGGTGCATCACAGATTATGGCCAAAACCCGAACGTGAGCAGGTTTGCTACAATCGTCGAATTGGATTCCTCTATCCTGAAGGAACTCTACCTCGTTAACCAATGACCGACAGAAGGCGCGAACATCAGATAGTTTTCCACCGCCACAATAGATTCCAACCGGAAAGACATTACTAATAAACTGACAAACTACTCTACCTAGTTTCGGCCATATTCCGGCCTTCTATTTCTTATAAATCGGGAGACCATCTATAACTATTTGCATTTGCAAATCAATTCGTACGGAGGGAGAAAACTTACTCATGCATAAAAGTCTGCAAAGCCGTCTTTGCAGTTCTATATGCTCGTATTCGCCATTGCTCATAGGAGCTACCTGTAAATCGTAAGAGTTTCCCGACAGCGTTCTTGGGTCTGCTGGAAGTTCAGGTACAAGAGGACTAAGGATGATTAGAAGATCTCGAAAGTAAGCTTATGCTGTATTGCGCCGCAAAGCCCAGTCGTGCAAATTCTTGGCTTATTTCTGCCCACTGTGAGTGGTCACGATCCCTCCGTCTTCTGCGTCCCCAGAACAACCAGTATGGGCACATGATGCACATCGTTCACCTCCTCTATAATCGGAGAACTCATTGATTCCCACTAATGCGTATTGCGAGGAATTATAAGTTGTGCATCTTTCCTTAACAGACTTTTCAATTTCCCGAATGACTTCCTTCCCATACTTCTTAGTCAGGAGTCTGAGTGTCCTCTCTGATTCCTGTCTAAACATTGTTTGAAATGGGGTCAAAGCAACAGAGGTATAAATGGCTAAGAGCAAAGGTGAGCAAGTTCACGCTTAAACCAATAGTTCTACACCGCTGTCACGAGATAATAACATGTACGCACGTGCTTGCGCTTTGGAAACGCAAAAAACGAAAGGCAGTCTAGCAACGGCCAGATTGCATAAGAGTGATAACCAATGACATGACAAAGCTTATATCTCGATAAGTAATTATCCGTATATCTACTCGATACCTATTGCTACTAGAACAGTGAAGATAACCGGTGTTTCTTCCATCCCCACCGATAACACAGTCCGCCACACTACTGTTGTCCGTTCGCCGCTAGTGTCTCCCATCGATAGCACGTTCCCTGGCCCCCACCCGCGGTTGCTGACAGCGCTGCAAACCGGACTGGTGTTTAACCGATATGACGTGACCAAGCCCCACGCTAAATAAATTTTCTGTACAATACCTCGATTTCCCTTTCCAATCATCATTCTCCACTTTTCCTATTCTACCCGTTTGTTTACCGTAAGATGGACTTCATACTCCATAAACCCTTTTAAGCCAGTTTAAGTCAGTTTATTAAGGGAATGAGGCTTTCGCCCTTGAGCTCCCTATTCATATCGATAAACAGAAATAAAGTCATCAATTACATCAGCAAATGCGGAAAGTTGAAAAATTAGCGGTAAGTGTGAGACAGGCGCAAACTACCGCCACTAAAACAATCCTGATTATATGTACAATAGTTACTCAACAAATGAGTATATTGTCTACACTTAAATGATCGGACACTTTCGGAAAGAACCACCACATCAGGGAGTCCGTTCCATGCCCCAATGACCCTGAGAGAGAAGGCGTTCCGTCGGACGTCCGAATGAACCAGCTTCCTCTGCAGTTGGAAGGGATGACCACGCAGGCGATCAGTCCCGGCCAATTCGAAGAATTCATCAAAGTGTAGGGCACACTCACGGCCTCTGACAATCCTGTAGGTTTGAATGAGATCGCCGCGCAGTTGCCTATAATTTAGAGGAAACAGATTTAGTTCAGTCAGCCTGGTTTCGTAAGGCAAATGATGAAGATTCTTGACCATCTTCGTAGCCGTCGCCTGTACTCTTTCCAGTCGTTGATAATCTTTCTTCAACCACGGTCGCCAGGCCTGGACTGCATACTCTAAGTGAGACCGGACGAATGCCCCATAGGTTTTTCCGAAAAGCTCTTTATCGATCTGCACAAATCCTCGCCTCAGCACAAATAACATCCTTATCGCCCTTTTGGCTGCCCTTTGACACTGTGATGATGGTTTCAGCGAGGAGGTCATACGGACGCCCAGGTCTTTCTGTTCCACAACATCAGAAAGGGGCTGACCATCAAGGACGTATTGAAAGGAATCGTCCCCTTTACGGGTCCGTCTGGTGCGGAGTCTCAGGACCACACATTTGTCCACATTAAAATTGAGGAGACAGCGAGCTGACCAACTGTGCAGGCGGTTGAGACTGTCTTGAAGCGCGTACCTGTCTGCGTCAGATCTGATGGGTCTCCACAGCTTAACATCGTCAGCAAGCATGATGGCGCTGCATCCCAGGTCGTCGACGCAGTCGTTAATGTAAACCAGGAATAGCAGCGGCCCTAGGACGGAGCCCTGGGGTGCACCACTTAGAACGGGGGTAGGATTTGACCGTGAGGCCTCAATGTACACGGTTTGTGATCTTCCGGTAAGAAAATCTGTTATCCATGTCAGCAGCCTTCCTCTTATCCCAATTTCAGAAAGTTTGTAGATTAGGCGTTTGTGTGGGACGCTTTCGAACGCCTTCTTAAAGTCTGCGTAGATGCCATCGACCCTACCATCCTCGTCCAGTGCGCGAGTCCATTGCTCCGTCGAGAGGAATAAACTGGAAAGGCACAAACGGTTCTGTCTGAAGCCTTGCTGCAGGTCTGAGAGTAAATGGCCCTGCTCCAGGAACTTCATTGTTGCTTTCTTAACTATGGTCTCCATTATTTTACAGCAGATACAGGTTAGACTAACAGGCAGGTAATTGTTAGCATTAGTGCGAGCCCCGCCCTTGTATATCGGAAAGATATTTACTGTCTTCCATTCCGATGGGAGCCTCCCTAGTTCGAATGACGAGCGGAAGATGTATGCCAGTGGTTTGGAGAGTTCATTCGCCAATTCTTTCAAAAATTTGGCCGGTATATTGTCCGGACCCGAGGACTTTGCTTCTTTGAGATTTTTCAGCTCCCTTTCCACGACAGCTGTCGCGAAGAGTATGGAGTCAAGCACGGGACCAGCAGTCTCAACAGCATTGCTGGCACTGCAACTGCGAAACTCTGTTTCTCTAGCAAAAAGCGAAACAAAATACTGTCCTAAGTGTTCGGCTTTCTCGCTGTTTTCAATGATCTCTACACCATTATCATCCTTTAACACCGCGACCGGGTCCTTATTTTTCAGTCTACTGTTCAGATAGTGAAATAAAATCTTAGGCTTCTGTTCAGCCTGTCGGATAATTTTGGATTCATACTCCTTCCGTGCCTGACGGATACATTTTTTGACGGCGTTTCGTTGACGACGAAATTCTTCGAAATGCGCTGGTGACGCAGTTTCCCTGAATATTTCCATCTTTGCTTTTCTTCCGTAGCTGCCTATTTAGGTTCCTAGTTAACCGAGGAGGTCGACTAGTTGTTTTTTGTACTTTAGGTGGACAACAGCGCCGAATCAGATCGAGTGAAATCGTCGTAAAAGATCTCCAGTCGTCCTCCAGATCTCCCCTGAGTAATTGGTCCCAATTCACGGACGGCAATTCGTTCTTCATCATGTTAAAATCTGCCTCCCATATATTCGGTTGGCCCTCTGTTCTCTTCTGACGTTGAGAGAAGGGCGAGTAATCCCATATTAGCGTAGCATGGTCACTTTTCCCAAGAGGTGCATTGGAATAGACTTCGTCGATATTAGAGAAGTCTTTAGTGAAAACTAGGTCTAGACAATTCTCTCTCTGGTTCTCTCGAAACCTTGTTGGCACCTTCACATGTTGCGCCAGAGCGAGATCGAGTGTGAGGTCCAGTAGCTTATTGCTGAAAGAATCTGGCCCACCGTTAACTATATTCTAATATGTATGTCTAATGTGGTGTTTAACGACTCTGTCTAGTGTTACACAGCCGTAAAGCTACCCCATATGAGCTGTTTGACCGTGTGTTTTCTACCCTCGACGTCTTCTGTCGTTACAGAACGCTCCCTTGCTATTAGAGAAGATGGGCTCAAGAAACGTCGGCATTTCAACAAATTTCCACGTACCTGACATATATATTCGAGGTGCGGCCGACCAAATGTCAGATACCGAAGGCAAACATTTCGTCTTATGGGATTTTGAAAGTTCCCTTGAATAAGTAAAACGTTCCGGTATCCTCTGACAACAGTCCACCAGTGTTGTTTCAAACTTAAAGATTAGCGGGAATTACAATTTCCAGGTTGCCCGCTAATTCAGTTCATCACGCTTCTTTTGTCGCGAGTGATTGTGATGGAAAACTCGCCATGACCACTCCCTTATTATAGTCATATTTCTCTGTTTGATCTTAACTCATTGTAGAAACCGAAGAACCAATCCCGGGCGAGGTCTCAGAAGAGGACGCCTGATTGGACAAGAGACACTCCGGTTTCCCCCTTGGCGTGTGCGGTTGGATCTTCTGGCTGCCTGCTTGTGTTTCACTTCTTTTCTTCCTCCTGAGCACTCTTGTGTCTCGTTCTCCCTTCGATCTCCCGCTATTACCGTTCCCTAATAAACACTCTCCCTCCTTCGACGAGATCTTCTGATTTGGAACGGTGTTCTGCCTGCTTGCTTGCTACAAAACTGGTGGCAGCGGTTCTTCTCCATGTCCCACGACCAGGCTACCGCGAAATCAACCGAAATGCCCGCCAGCGTGGACGTAAGAGGGCTTTGCCAAGCCCTTGTGTCTGTCCTGGAGACAAGGCAATCCTCCACGGACACACTGCCTCTGTTGAAACCGGGGGATAATTTCGACGTTTGGTACTCCCAAGCGAACGTTCATTTGGCCTCCATTGCGGCCAAAGACCGTGCGCGGTACATATGCCGCCACCTCTCGACGGAGGCACTAACAAAGGCCTCTGCTTTCGGGGTCAAGTTCGACACCGACGCGGATTCATTGTTGAGTGCCCTTCGGCGCGTTTTTGCAACGCCCAAGCCCCCAGTGGACGCATACAGGCAGTTCTCGTCCCGTCTTCAGCTCCCTGGGGAGAGTGCCAGAGATTATTTAGGCTGTCTTCGCCCTTTGGTATTGGCGGCCTTTCCTGACCAGCCAGCGAGCCTGACTGATGTTGTTCTGGCTGCGCACTTCTGCGCTGGGTTATTGGACGATAACCTCCGCAGGAAATTGATCAAGAAGCCCAACTTAGCGTCTGAGGCTCTCTTAACCCTGGTGCAGGAGTATGAGGAACGCTACGGTCCCTCAGTCGCCGCGCCATGTTATTCCACCTCAGT